CTAGTTTTGACGTGCATTTGAAAGCCCTTAAGGCTGTTTTCTTTTGAGGCTTTGGTTAAGACACTCTTGTGCACATATATCTATGCAAGCAGTTCGGCTTGAAATATTGTAAGATGTTTACCCAATGCCTTGGAGAGCTTGAAGTTAGGGCCGGAAATGCCCAGTCCAGCTCCTTCCATCAGCTTGGATCCATCTGTGTACCACAGAGATGCATTGTCTGCTTGTGGTAGTTCTTTATTCTCCCATGATTGACGGTCGTTTATTACCACTGCGAAGGGGATCTCTAAGTCCAATCTGACCATCATGTGGTCACTTGGTTTGCTGGCATTCTCCAGTTTTATTAGATCAAGGATTCTCAGATGTCCCCTCAGATCGCCAGGCTTGAACTTGTCTATTTGGAATAGCTTGTGAGCGCTGGTTATTGTCTCCTTTTTCACACATAGGTGAAGTGGGGGCATGTTGAGTAGCGTCTCTAGGGCTGCGGTGGGGCAGCTTTAGTAATTCCAGAGAATTTTTTCAGCGCTGGCTCTTAGACTACTATTTTTATGGCGATTTTGCTACCGATTTCAAGTTCAATTATAGTTGAATTCACGATAGAGCTTGAATTTTGATCGTTATTTTCACCAGTTAAAAGTAAATAAAATCCCCAGATCTGTCCCTTTTCCTGTCAACTCTATCAAATGATACACGATATTTTGATTTGACATATAAAAATATCAGATTCGGATCTTTGAATTTAGAATTTATAATTTTTCAATTTTTGTGTGAAATCGTTTCAGTTTTTTGCCGTTTTCTGCATTATTTTTTAATATTTTGTCATATTCGCAATCGGTTTTTTGGTTTTTTATGTAGTGTTATGTACCTTTGTAGTTCGGTGTTGCATTTCGAACCTGGTATATCACTTTTCATACGACCCTGTCGTTTATTCCAACTGACGGAATCGAAGCGCTAACCCATGCTGGCAACCTAAAGAAAAAGTTACCTGAAATGTCAACGCGAATTGTCAACTTCACTTTCTATCCTGATTTCAACTATAGTTGTCAATGACGGCGTTGAAAAATAGTCTGATGGCGGCTTCTGTTTTTGTAGATAGTATGTTATGTAATGGCCAACGTGTCACATGCTTTTGATATAACTTTAAATATTCTTCGTTTGTATAATTTAAGCGGCCAGACATTAATATTAATAAATTTCAAATGGTAAATGAGAGCTTAGTACCTACATTTCTTTAGGATCAGATTATTTTCCAACGCCGTCATTGACAACTGAACTTGAAATCGGAAGCAAAATCGCCATAAAAAAAAATAAATAAATTGGCAATATTTCGGAAACTAAACATAACATTTTCGGAATAGACCAAAATTCGGAGGTTTCCATCTAAAACAATGTATTATCGACAGTTTTCTCATTTTTTTTTTATCCTATTTTTTGAGCAACCCTGTATTAATACCTTACCTAGTCAAAATATTATAAAAAATATATTGAAGTACGTCCTTGTCAACAAGGAATCCAACTCAAATCAAATATTAAAATGTTTTTTATAGGAAAAATTCATTATTCTTTTGGGGCCTGCAAACGTAATTTTTGACATGAAAACTTAATTATGTCAAAAATGCTAGGTATAAGACATTATACATGGAATCTTTCTTGAATCTTGAGTAGAATCCAAAACTGAAATAATATATAGGGTGTCTTATTTGAAATAAGCAAGTTGTAAGTTGACGTCTACTTCGGGTATATCCGACAGTACCACCTAGAATGGACACTCGCGTTATACGGGTCGAACAACCATTTGTGGTGCTATCTGTTGTCTATGAAATGAGCTCAACCCATTGTAGCAGCTTGTAGAGCAGTTTCTTTCTAATTTTTTTAGATTTGTTTTTTGTTTATTCCATGATAAAGACACACTTTTGATACAAATTTAACAAATAACGGTTTATTACAAAGAAAGAAGAAAGTTATGTTGGCGTCTCGCAACTTGTCAACAAAGACAAGAAGCACAACGTATTCCAGTTCTTCATCGTTTTGTCATCATTTGTCATTTCATGAGTTCATGTCATAATTTAATTAGAAATGACGTCACCCTTCTTCGACAGAAGCGGAGATACCTTGGAGATACAATCAACAACCCGTAAGCGAGTCAATTGGTAGCGCCTCTACCGGGCGTGAAACAAGCTAATTATCGAACCAAGTGGTACATTTGAAGATGGCGGGGTATGAGTGCCACTATCTTGAAATATTTCAGCTGGGTTGCCTCTATTGACATTAGTATACTGTCAAATTTTCAAAAATTTTCTGCATACAGTTTTTCATATACCTACCTATAGATCGATTTGGTTCCCGATGGGACAACCTACATCTCCCAATTTATTTAATTATTTTTAAAATTGGATCCCCCTAGATAAACTACGCTCCTGAGCTGCTACTATAGAGTTTTTTTTAGGGTACTCCGGTCACTCAGGATGCCAAAAAATATCATAAGAAATCGCAATTTAAATAAAAAAGTCTCATATTTTACAATTTTAATAATATTAGCAAATTTACCAAAAATTTTATAGTTATAAAAAAAATATGGTTTAAATTGACTTCAGCGATGTCAAATGAATATAAAATGACATATTACTCGCCCGCATTGGTTATTATTCAATTTATTTGCAAATTCAACACCCTTAGAGTAAACTGCGCCCCTGGGCTGCTCCACAGGGGTATTTTTTGGGGTACTGCGGGCAGAATCTCTTAATTTGACCTATTTAAGGTGCCTACCAAGTTTCATGCTTTTAACACAATTTGCAGGGTTTTTTTGTTAACCGCTAGGACTAAGTATCACGTAGTGAGTAGCCGCCTTAATAGTAAACAAAAATCATGAAAATTAAAAATCTCTTTTATCGTTTTCGTATTTTATACTGTGCCAGATTAGTACAGGTACGGATATCTTTGTCTGATTCGTATTTAGACAAGGAAGCGAAAGTGTCGAAACTTCATTAAGTGTCGTTCTATCTTTCATGTCAAAAGGAGGGCTGTATACCCAAATCGATACACAAAGCGATTTTGATATAATATATGCCTCCTTTTTTGTTGGATGTGTTAAAAAAGGAAAATAAAGATTCGTTTGGAACATGGAAATTTGGCAATCACTAATTTTTGATTGGTGCAAAATATGGCGCAAAATTCAAATGATTTGACATTTTTTCTTTTAATTTCTGGCTTTAAGATTTAAAAAAAAAAATTAACCATGTAGTATAACAAGTACACTTTCGTTTTAGATGAATTGAATACCTCATTTCGATTAAGTGCAAATGGTCTATTCTCTCGACAATTCTCTACTAGAAGTCTTATAAAACGCCGCTCGATAAAAGGCTAGAATATGCCATCAATCCAACTCCATCGACGGAAACTACAGTGGAGGGGCATACAGGGGTGGATCAATAACTTCGGCTTATATGGGTTTAAAAGTTGCTCTAATATTGTATACCACTATGTTAATTCTTCCAAGAATTGTAAAATTTTAATTTATTCATTTTCGAAAAAAAGAAAAAGAATCAGCGCTAATAGGACAAAAAAGTTGAAGCATGTCAATAGATAAACCGTGATATTGATCCTTGTTTGAAGCATTTGTTATTTTATTTTCTATCATAAAGTTATAAGCACCGAATAGTATTATCTTCATCTTGCACACGCACTGGCTTAATCAATCACGTGCACGTGGCAAAATGAAATACCCAACTTCGCCATGAGCCACCAAGTGTGGAACAAAAACCTCATCTTAGAAAAATTGACACCCTCATTGGAATCGACAGTTTTTCTGTTATCGCGCAATTCTTTTCGCTCTAGCCAGCCTTATGTAGTTTTCAATATAATTCATCAATTTACCCGGGGACATTTGTTGATAAACAAAAACGCTCTAAATATGTCATTCACGTATTGCATTTCCTAATGTTCACTTCAGTTATGAGAGTTACATGTTCTATAGGCACATTGCTTTCATTCCCTTTTGTATCAAAATGAATACACTGGAATGGTTTTTTTATTAGTGATAAATTTCTGATTTCCTTTACCTCTCAAAGTTGATTTTTCTCATGTCTGTAATATATTTGTACAGGAAATGATTTATGGCATAGCAGACAGAATAATTGAAAGTCGAAGGCATCGGTAGCTCAGTTGGTAGAGCTTAAGACTAATCTAGGGGTCCTAGGCTCAAATCTTGAGTCTGATTTTTCACCGACTTTTAATTATTTCGCTATCACATTTCTTGAGGCATCATTTAGTTGTTTTACCATATGTAAACTTTGGTTATACTTTGACGATGTTCTATAGCGCCAGGGCTAATAATTTTGGAGACATCTTATCGTCCTGACGTACCCCCCTATTCACTTTAATTTTCACTGTTTTCAAGACATCGTTCGTTGCTAATGCTGTGTCCGTACGTAGTGAGGAAAAAAAAACGTTCACTTCTATAGTCATTTAATAGAAAAATCGAAAATTGAAAAAATTGTAATGTTAATCTGGATAATTGAAAAAAATCTAGAAAAAAATAGACATAAATATCCCAAAAGACTGACCCATATTTTAAAAGGTCTATGCATAAGAAACAAAATCAATACCGTGTTCCCTATTAAACCTCAATAATTTGCCCTAGCAAGCGACTGCCCCAATAAAACTGCTTCTCAGTTATGCGTAATAAAAAGTTAAATTTTTCTTTTTCGAAAGATGCATCGACTGGTGATAAATACTCTCATTATGTAGCTTTTGAATATTTTTGAGAGTCTCATCGTCGTCCTTACCACGTAACATTTATTTGCTAGGTAAACTCAAAGGAAAAATCTCAAAGCGCAATATTATGTAAAATATTCCATTTGCCGTTAGACCGATACAATTTAATCTGATCAATTTTTTTCCATTAAGCATTTTTTTTTGAGATAGTGATACCTATAAATTTTATTTCAAAAATATTTTGCATTATTAATGTGCATACAAAAGAAATCTTGCTTTGAACTTTTCAGTGTCAGAATACGAACCAGAGATAAATGAAGTCGAGGTTCCTGTTCTGGATAGGGATCTATGCAACGTATGGATGGAACATCGCGAACTAAATGTCACCGATGGAATGATATGTGCTGGTTATAAGGAGGGTGGCAAGGATGCCTGTCAGGTAAGTAAATCTAGATGTTATGTCTCGTTTAAACTGGTAGATGAGGGTTGGGGGATAGAACAAATTTAAATCAACCATAATAGTCATAAGATTCAATGGAACAACCAGGTTAGGCCAAAATTGTGATTCTTAGATATCTGACTTCGATTGGAAAGGGTACCACCACCCCTAGTAGAGGTATCAGATGATCAAGTTTCCTTTCCCTTGTGAATAAAACTACAGTTATTTTGTGAGGATTTATTGTCATATCCTCACTCTCGCACCATGCAAGTATTGTATCCAATATTTCCTGAAGGGTTTTGGAGAGCCTACGGTCTGATTTTCTCCTTGTTACGATAGCTAAGTTGTCCGTGTAAGCCTGGAGGTCGACCTTTTACAGTTGGATTTTAATTTGGATCTAATTTTTTAATTTTTTCTCTGAAAGCAGGGACGATACCACACAATGAAACTTGATATATTATTAAAATTTAAGTACCTGATGAATATCTCACAAACCTTAATACGTACAAGAGTTGGTTCCATTCATAGGTTGTTGTGAATTAAATCCTCTACGACATATCAAAAAATGGAAAAAACCATAGAGCCCATATTAGCCGTGCGATAACCTTTCAAAAAAAATATGTTTTTTCCATGTTTCAGGATTGTAAAAGTTACGGTCTAAAGTTAGCTACAAGATTTTTAGAAATATTTTTGCCAAAAACAAGGGAGAGCGGATTCTTTATATCAAAAAACTAAACCTTTGGGATTTGATGAATTTAACTCCTGCATTATCAAAATTTACGGAGTTGTCTTTGAATAATACCTCAGTTATCTTCAGGAGGTTTTTTTATATTTATTCATTAAACATTTGAATGTATTGCATGATCACTATTTTTGAAACTTTTTTTGCACTACATCCAAGTGGATGAGATTCAAGGCTTTGACAATGACTTTCGTGGTTATTCTTTCAAATAATAACAAATTTCCGATTTAATATTTTCTACTTTTTTTACAGGGTGACTCTGGAGGTCCTTTACTATGCAAAGAAAATGATGATCCCGACAGATGGTTTGTCGGGGGTATCGTTAGTTGGGGTATAAAATGTGCCCACCCTCATTTACCTGGGGTATATGCGTATGTACCAAAATATATTGAATGGATACATGCGCAGCTTAAACAATATTCTGATTGAAAAAAAAAAACAATAAAAAACATTGACAATAAAATTTTAAAGAATGATTGGTACAAATTATATACAAGTATAATGGTTTTTTATGACTTTTACAAAAGCACGATTTCTTGAAAAGAAAAATCAGATGGATTTTTATTATTGTATCGGGGTAATATATTCGGCGGTGCTCAGGGAGAAACCTCTAGGAAAATTCTAAGGATACCTATCCATTATCTTATGGATTGCCATGCAAAATTTCAGAAATTTAAATGTTTAGGATCATACATTGATTGAAATAAATACAATTTAGTAAATTAAAAACAAACTGAATAAATAATATAGGTTGAATATTATGTACCTATGGATATATCAATTTAACTTATGTCGACTTAGCAAAATTTAACATAGAATTTTTCCTAGAATTTCTTCTGTCAAGATCAGAAATGCACCACATACATACATAAATAATAGTTATTATGATATACAAAATAGGTATTCTATTTTTTCTGAGTTTTTATAAAAATTGATAGTTGTTTGAATATTGCCCTTAGAGCTGAAGTTTTTAATGTTAAGATATTTAAAAGAAACTCCGAGATAAATAATTTTGGTAGATGATTGATAATAAAAAAGGGAATATTTAAACGACAATTGATTTTTTTAATCATAACTTTTACAGGTGAATTAGATAATAAATACCCTGCCAGATATCAGGCTATGCACAATATCGTAGTTTGACCCTTAACTAGTGATATCTTATGACAATTTATTAGCGTACAAGCGGACCGCTATCAATGTGATCTCTGATTTATACTACATATTTTAATATATAATATATAATTTCTCAATAATTTTCGAAATGTTATCTTTCGATCACGCACGGACAATATATTTCAAATAAATATTTATTGTGTATTATCAATAGGTAGGTAGGTACCTACCTGATTTAAAAAATATATGTTTGCGGTGGTTGAGCTGTTGACGCCAATGACTACATTAATAAATTTTTTCTTGGTATTGTTTTTCGAAATATCTTTTATAATGTCAATTTCCATTTTGTTGTTTATCTGTTCCATAATTATAGTAACATGTCATAAGATCCAGGGCGTAAAACTTTCAAGGCTTCAGGTTTTTGTTTTAACTGTACAGAAGGATTTTTATTACATTATGATTAATATTTAAATCGTGACAACCGAGAGAAAAATAAAGCCCACAATTTTATTATTAAAAGTGTTTTTCATAATTAGGGCGTTCTTGGGGTTCCGAAATTCATTATCATTTTACGAAGCAAAATCGTTTTCTTGAACTCACTTTTATATATTATAATATTAAAATTATTAGGATGCTTTACTGTCTGAAAAGCCAATCAACAACGCAGTGCTTCTTGCCGAATCGATTTATGTTTTTCTTTCATATATGTATGTTTAATATTTGATATTTACAGGTAGGTATATTAGATGAGATGCAGATATGTTAAAAATACCTTGCGGATATGCTTTTGAACAACTAGAAATTATGAATGCTTGTATTCAGAAATTTCAATAGAACGAGGACCACAAACATTTTTCCAAAATGTTCTTCGTGCTTTCTGAACAACTACATTCCAAGGCTCTGTGTAGCAAGCTGTTTGACGAGCATGTAAGCTAATAAATCTGCTTCTCTCTAGAAAATAGAATGAAATGGTAGGTATTCTAATTGAAAATTACCTCCTTTATTTTTTTTGCTATCTATGACCTGTTACTTCTTGTGAAAAAATGGATCCTGGCATTTCAATAATGTTATTATAATCGTTGATGAAAGTTATCGATGATAATTTTTCCACACTGTTTAAACACTTGGATCATTTGTATCAATAGAGAATTTGGGAAATTCAACAACAATGTAAGTACCTACCTATTTTAGCAATAGAATAAATGGATATCTAATGAAAAAAATTATCACTAGAATATTGCATATCCAAAATCATCTGTCCTTATTGTTGGCACATTGTTGATCGAAGTTCTTAAGCGCGCTTCACAAACCGTATTTTATACCTCCTAGAGAAATTGAATAGTTTTCTATACACATTATAAACAATGTTATAACATAGCGGTGACGTAACTGCTTTATATATTTTCTAGTTTTTGTAGACTTGAATTTTTGCTATCTATGTCATTTGCTACATTTATCTAAATTTTTACAACAAAATAAAAAAAAATATATATTCCATCAACCTAATGTAGCGTATGGCGAATTTCCCCTAAAAACTTTGTCAAATTATCGTTAAAACCGCTAATAGGAAGTAGGTACTATAAAATGACAACAAATTCTTAAGTTAGCTTTGTACAGGGTGTTTTGTCTATTATGAGAAAAAAAATGTGAAAAAGATTTCTATAAATATAGGTACACGTACATAATATTTAAAAGAATAGCTATAGGAAGCATTTATCAAAAAAAAAAAGATATTTTTACTAAAATGTTAGATATATTTAAGTCAAATATACAAAAATGGCTAAATTCAAAAATATTACAGGTTATTTAAGAATTGATATCTGACAATATTTATTGATACAACAATTTTAAATAATTGAAATTATGAACGAAAATAACCAGATACCGAAACTTTAGTGTAATAAAAAATTATTTCATCTGTTTAAAAACAATCATTTAACCGATGAGCTATACATTTAATATTTTAAGATAGAATTTGGTTGAGAAAGCTGTTAATATCCAAATTGCTATGTATGCAACTAGATTTTAATTAAATGCATATCTAATTCTTAAGATATCAATATTTCATTCGAAAAAAACATATCACAATTAAAAACAAATTTTTATAATAAAAGAAATAATGCATACAAGTTTTTTTCGGACTGATTAAAGTTAATCCACAGAAGTTACATTTATTTGGCGATAGTTTTAAGTCCCGTCTTTTTTGAAGTTCTGTATCTACGGCTATTTTTATTTATGAGGATGGGTAGCCATTTTTCCGTAGGTATTGAAGTTGTGCTCTCAGTAACTCCAAGAACATTCATGCTTGTAATGCAGTACAGGTACAAAAATTTTAGTAAAGGACTATCTGGTTTGCCTTTTTGTACAAGCAAAACACTTTTCCCTTTACCATTTCACACTGATCGGAGTCTCCTGGAACACCAATGTGTTCAAGATGTTTTTTTGCCTGCTAAATTTGGAAGTTGGTTAGTCGTAGAGCCTGTTCTTCAAATTTTATTAGTTATTTGATTGTTGAAACCGCTATAAATAATTGATACCCAAACATGCCAAATTGCTCCAAGTTCTACACAGAATGGCAGTCTTTGGAAATTGTGAGATCCTAGAAGAAGAAACACTATTTCCGTCATAACTCAACTAGTAATTTATTTTGTTGGGTTCGAAGGTAAGTTAGAGTGCTTCTCTCAACCAGAATAAATTGCATTTGAAACAATATCACAAAAATCACTGCATCTAGCACTACTAACGCTGTAAATTGCTCAAATTGGGCTTAACTGCTCGAAAAATCATATCACGAACTAATCGCCTTACTGTCGAATTAGGAACTTTTTTATTCACTAATCTTCATTTTGACGTCGCGGGCTCCTATACTGTTCCATGTTTTCGCCCATTATCAAGAGAATTCTCTGTTTCAGAAGTTCTCATTAACGCCAATCGATGATTCGTTAGGCTAGATCATGCCATCGATCGTTGAGAACCGGTCATCGGGCATAAAAGTCCATCAATGATTCGTTATACTGGATAATTCCACCATGTTGAGATTCCCGCAACCGTGGCACAGGTATCGATCGCCCCCTTCCTTCTGTTCGCTTTTCCTGGTGGCAGCTAAAGGTGGATATAAAACTGCGGGTGCGCAGCATGCTCTCTAGATTAGTAGGTGGTTTTCGAGTTACGCACGAACCGCGCGCACACGGCGCATCACGAATCACCTCACGAACCCTTTGTGTGTTCGCTGTACAGATTTGGACAGAAGCGCGAGAGGTTCGCTGTTTTGCGCGTATATTAGGCCTTCAGCGGTAGTAATGTAGAGGTTCTTACCTTTACAAGGGGCCAGGATTTTCACGTTAACGACCTCTCCCATGATTTTCGGCGAAAGTTGTATTCACGCCGTTGATATTCTTGACAATCTTGTTTGGTCCTTCCCACGGACTTTGTTATTTCCGACCTATTGCCATCCTTTAATGAGGCTGAAAGATTCAGACGGCATCGTCTTCAAGAATATTATTTTCATTTCAACCTATTCCTGCAGAAATACCGAACCACTCTGAGTCTGTCCTGAAGATGAACAACACAAACTTTATGTCTTCATCGGTCGGTGGTTTGCAAAACATTAGAAACACGGGACGTTTCATTCCTCTTCCAGTCAACAGCATTGATGGTGTATAGTCGGTAGAATATGCTGACAGCTTCTATAAAACAGAGGGGAAAACGGCAGTCAGTCTCATTGGTGTGCATCCACAAAAAACGAGAGGCATTGATTGCTGCTCTGATTGCTCCTATCGACCATTGCGTCGGACTATGGATGTAGTGGAGACAGTGGAGTCGGTCTGGTTTTCCTTATTCCTAGTAAGCTTATCAGTTGTTCTCAAAATATCTTTCCTAATCCATACGAGTTTTCATCATGTCTGGCTATGATTTTTTCCTTAATACTTCAACAAATATACCGCTTCTTCATTGGAAACGGTAACTTTTTCTGGTCACTTTTAAAATAGTATTATGATGTGCTTATTTCTCGAATCTGTTGTAGGAACTCTGATTATTGTGCAGTTTACGTAGATCTTTGGCCGTGATTCTCCTATTTGCGAGTGATTAGGTCATCTCATAGGGGTTTGAAGCCGGTATACCTTTACCGTTTTACCAAAATTGGAAATTTCTTGAGATCGGTCGTTGTATATATTCTAGCCACGTATTTTCGAGTCCTTTTCAATATTTCGTTGTTTTTCGAAGTCTTTTTTGATGATGTCCGGATTGGCATTCGTCTCAGTTTTAAAATAATTGGAAATACAGAACCAGAATTTATGGCAACCTCTACTTGCCTTTGGCAGAATTAACAACAGTTGTCAATACACAGCGTTGGCATGACTTCTTCTTTTCCGATGTCTGATCTGTAATTTTTCCAACCAACTCGCATATTTTTCAAATTAGGCCACCATTCTTTGGGTAGCTTGACCACTCTTCCTAGGAATCAGTATGACCAGAGTTGATTATTTTTTAAGTAATCGTGTTTAGTTGAAATTTATTCCAGCAAGTATAATATTTGTAGAGCAGGTTTGTGTCGTAATAAGTTTAACGGTTAAAGGTTGCATGCAGAATTATTTGTATTACTTTATCCTTGACCTGCAAACCTTCAAATTTACAAAAATATAATATTATTTAAAAGGGCTCACAGGTAATTAAATATCTGTATTTTGTTACAGCCGTCTAAGTAATAAATCTGTTGCAAAACAAATCAGAAAGACTGAAGCAAAGTCTATTTTGAAGGCTTCATTGGACAATAAATGAAATTTTAACTAAAATAATAAATGTTCTATTTGTTGACTTGACAGAAAAATTATTGGAATAAGAAGAAACCTTTTGGATGTTAACACTTACTTGACCAACAATTTACAAAAATTTAGATTTTAGAAGAGCAAAAACCCTCATGAATGTTTCATGGTTTTCATATCTTGGAAAGTGATATAGTCATTCGACAATATATTTTAGACAATACCTATGTATTTCTGAACTTATGAAAATATGTATTAACCAAAGTTTATCGTGTGGGCTGTCTTTTTATTATGACAATAAATGTTTGGGTGTTGAACGCCATTTGATGATTTGATGTAATATTTTTCTGTATGTTCTTTGTTTGAAGCAATCTTTACTTGCCATATTATTCGAATAATTATTATTGCTCTTTGACCATGTACACATCGTCAATTTACGATCCGATTGGATTCAGTGCATCGATGGCAATGTCAAATCAATTCTGATACAATGTTCCATCTGTATCGATGCTTGAAAAGAGAAGAGATGCTAATCCTTATCTTATATAAGTACTTTTTAGTGTTTTGATATTTTTTTCGCAATTATAAGAAAATATTCCAAAAAAGTTAGGCCCTATATTTATCTCTTAACTTTTACAAATGACCCAGCGTCATTATAACCTATAACAAACAGCAAATTTTATTTCAATCCAGATTTTTGCACCGATGGCATCAAAACCAAATATAAACAGGATTGACTTGAGATTTCCCCATCCAATCAAAATTTCGTATTCATCGAGATTTTTGATCGGATGCAGCTGTATCCGATGGGGTGGATTGTATCATAACTTACGATCCATCTTAAGTTATGATACGATCCACCAGTGTACGTAGTCTTTGTATGGTGAACTTTTAGCTAGTAACACTACCTTTTTATGTGCCTTACAGCCGGATTTCTCCTAAAAATTAACTGTTATCTATTAAGAATATACCTATAGAGCAAGTAAACAATTTTAAATAGCTTTAAACCTACTATAGATTTCCACATGCTACATAAATATCACAATTTATAGCCGAAACAAATCAGTGCATTTTTTATTTTTCTTCTATTGTTTATTTACATAAACGTGCGCTTTGTGTATAAAACATGGAGTATTAAGAAAAGTATAAACTATATAGGCTGGACACGGTGAGAAACTTTTTCCTAATACTCCTCTACTCAATCTCTGATGCTATACGTTGGATTACTGCAATGCGTTAGACTGAAATCTGGATAAAACTATACTCTTGATACCCAACACTCCCGACAGAATATTTGTTCGATTTGATAAGCAACAAAGGTGCATGGGTCCAGAATGGTGGCTTGATAGCCAGTTTCACCAGGGCAGTCTCGCAGCCTTGTTTCAAAATGTAACAAAGTATTTTATCTTATTCATTTCGAATTTAAGAACAACATCTTTTTTCAACCCTCGGTGAAGAATCTACAACTTCTCTAGTGGAAAAGCTTCTGGAATCATCCCTAAATTACCGAAAAGTTTGAAAAAAATATTAAAATATTAAAATAAAATAAATGCAAAAAATGCAATGTCCAATACATTATTTTATCAGGGAGCACTAAAGTCCCATTATGTTGGAATTAAACATAGTGTTACTTATGTTGGATCTACTGCTATTCAGTTATCCTAAAATACACAAATATAGAAGTTAAATAAAAACTGTAAAGGTTAGGATATAACTTATGATCACACTGTAATTCTATACGAGGGCTTATCTAAAATTTGGTAGAATATAAGAAAATATTTTATTGTGTGTAAGCTTGTTATTGTCATTAAACATATTTTCCATAAACCCAGCGTATTGTACGTATAGAATATTGTTTAGATTTTAAGATAATGCTTAGCCCCTATAGGCTTATTTAAAACTAGGAAATCTTTTTAGTATAAGTTTATGGGATGTTATGGAGTATTTTAGATATATATTTATAGAAAAAGTATTGTCAATGGATATGGTCCTCGAACTAGGTAGTAAATTTGCTCAATTTTCTTTTTTCGACTAATATGGCCAGTTTATATAAAACTCAATGTCAACCTGTTTGATGTTCAATTAGCTGATATTCTACGAACAAAATTTAGGTATTACAAAATATAGATGTTACTATTTAACAAAAAATAATAATTCAGTTTTTTGGTAGCCTTTAGGTGGTTTCTAATAAATTTTTTGGAATGGAAAATCTAAAAAAGGCTTTTTCCATTTTCTGCTGTTTATTGTGGATACTATTTCTTTGAATATCGCATCTTGGAGAAACTAATTATAACATATAAATAACTATATTTTTCATCAAATATAAATATTTTTTCATCTGTGCTCATCAAGTCTTTGTGGAAATCCTCGATAGTGGTAAACACTTTGTTTTATCAATAACAAGAATGTCCACAAAGACCCAAAACGAATTCACTCTACTATGGCAGAAATCTTAATTTAGAGACGTCCTAGAGAAACTATAAATATATGTTCCTTATGGCTTTGGCTGGATATAGATATATGTAATGTTGACTAAAAAAAGGCTTGCTATGTGCTTCCATAAATAATTATTCCCAGAAGCAAGACAAAAATATATGTTTTAACGCTTTATATGTAATCTAGTCGTTTGTTAAAAATCTAAGAAGGCTATTTCTTATATTGTTAAACAAAAGGCATAATCTAATAACAATTTAGGCACCTACCTGTAATTGTTTCTGGGAAATCAAATATCCAGCTGTAACCACTGTGCAAAAATAGTAGGGTGTTCGGCCTATATCGAACCAATGGCGCTATTCAGTTTTCAAATATCACAAATCCGAAAGCTCAGGATCAAAATGTGAGGTGTCTTAGGTTCGGTCAAGGTTTAACAACTTACTCAAAATCTTATCATTGTGCTGTATTTTCTTGTGTTGAAAAAATGTAGTTGAAAAAATACAACCGTATTGAAGTAGTAATTTTGTATGCGTTTTATTTTTAGTTTGTTTACGACAATCTTAACTAGCCCAAAACATCTTGCGAAATGTAAACATTCAACTTCATATAAGTTTTAGGTAAGTAAATAAACACCAACATAAACCACGTACCTATCTGAAAAAAATAATGAATAGTATTGATCAGTGATCGTATTCCGCGGTTTCACTAGAAACTTCCTTTACTAACAATAACAAGGTTTTTTGAATAAATTGACTTCATAAAATTCACTTCCTACTTATTGCTACTACTTAACTGATTATAACAAATCTCTTATTTAAACTTGCCTACTAACCCACATACTACGAGGTTCATATAAAAAACATCCATTTCGGGAAATCTCTAGAATTAGCTGTTTACTTGAGTAGGTACACAATAGAATTTCTGCATATTCGCGATCCGTCGTAAACGTTGGTCCTAGACGTGAGTAATTTCCCGGACCTCATAGCAGGGCACCGATGCAACTGCGTAACGCTGCCTCCCTCTCAAATCAGATCGATCCGTTCTTACCCTGGTCCAAGATTCACCACCTTTTCTTCTACGTCCATACCTCCATTTATATCCATGATGACTCCATCCCCCTACTAGCAGCAGAAAGTAATATTAGAAGGCATAGTAGGGCATGGCGTCTAGATCTATGTCCCGGTTCATACTAGTCTTCATCATTCCATCCACGAACTTGGTTAACACCTATATGCCTCAGATGAATCCCCTCTAGGATGTCTTGCTGTCCATCCAGGTCTACCCTCAAGCCTGCGTGATCATTCCATGGACTGACCTCACGGGAACTAAAAGAATGACCACCTGTTCCCTGTTGCCCGCCATGCTGCCAGCCGACTTGTCTGCGACTCCGAAGACAGTCCCAACCGTCGTAGTATACTTCATCGTAGGAATCTGTAGAGCGCCTGTCTGAAGGATAATGCTGACGTTCTAGATGAGCAGTCGCATTCCACAAATCTTCACAATGTTTCCAGGTTTACTTTTCCGTCGTATTACCTTTTCTCTAAGGAAAGGCCTGAGATCAAGCCTGTAGCCATGTCATGAAAGCTACAACCTTCAGCCATTGCAACAGTCTCGAACTGACGCCTGACACTCTCGAACTGATGTCTGGCCGTCTCTAAATGCTCTTCACATTAAATTTCATAACGTTGCAAGGCCTGTCGACCAAACCAAAATCACAGTTATACCTTTCGTTAGAAGTAGAGTCACTGTACTTTTGTTTCAACATAAATAAATTCACGAAAACAAGAAAAGCTAATAAACCTACTCCTGAAGAAGCTGGAGCGAGCGAACGGTAATTAAAGGCAGGCTATATTTAGATCAAATTCAGAGGTGCACATTAAACAAAAAAAATCCAGAAATGTTTGAAAAACTGGTGTTTTCTGTTTAAAAAATTAAAGTTGATACCGGCGTAGCTATTCTTGAGACACCTTGTATAATAAAAAAATATATTAAAAAATTTCAAACAAAATTTATGTGTCTGAGCGATTTTTCAAAAGTTCTACCGTTCTCGAAATACTGAATTATGTGAGACTTTATAAACGCCCTATGTATACTGAAGATGACGCTGATCAATACTCAGTAATCAAATCTAGAATAATCAATATGCCTAGAAGCGCCACCTATTGTGGTAAACCCCAACATGAACCAATATTCAATTATATTTGTATTAAAAAGTTTTAATGTTTTAGAGATTGCTACACATTTGCGCCACTATACGAGGATATTGGGAACCCTAGTAAGATAACTTGTCCAACAGGTGAACACAAGAATTTGAGATTTCAAAATTACTGAGATTTTAAATCCTGGAAATAATATACAGGGTGTCCTTAGATAAACTGACACATTTTGCAGGTAAATATCTCGAAAACGAGAAAAGATAACGAGATGCGGTTTGTTCTGGGAGAATAAAAACTTTTTTAAAGTTATTTTTTTCACAATATTGCCAAATCCTAAAATTTACTAAAATTTGGTTTCACAGACACGCTATTTTTTGAAATAAAATTACTACCTTATTTTCAATGGATGGAATATTTTGTCATCGTCAGAGCGCCTAATTTTTCGACTTTACAAAAATGAATAATTTTTTTTAATTATTTTGAAATCACATCCTGAAAAGTGCACTTTGTTAAAGAGAGTAGGTACCATCAACTAAAAAAAAAAAAAAACGAAATACTTCAAGGAATTAGAGGACTTTCAAACTTTCAAGATTTATTGAGTAGGGTATTTTTATGAAACAAATTAAACCGCGAATGGATCTCAGGCTCAAAAATGGAATTATGATTTTTTTCTCACTTAACCTTGGTCTTCCCGGGTGGGGTACAAATGTACTCCAGAAACAAAAAAAATTATAGTAGGTACATTTTCCCAAAAAGTGCATATTTTTTGTGAGTAATTTTATTTTTTGTCAGTAAGGGCTTTGCACATAATTAGTGATCATCAAACATTCTCTATTTATTTATTTTTTAGAAATAATAATTTTTGCATAGCGTGAGGCACATGTACCCAATGACGAACCCCAGGTGGGAATCTGTGGCTACTCTATCAAGTAGTCACCTTGCAGGAAATTTGCAGGTTGGAAATAGATTTCTAACCTGCGAAATTTAGAAATCACGATAATAAAGCCGGTCAAGAAGTATCTGTGGAGCAGGAAGAGAACGGAAGTTTAAGGGAAGTAGAAGGCGGAAATCTGATTTATAAATCGAAAGATGGCCGCAACGGTCGAAAACAAATTTCTAACAATTTTATTATTGAAAGTTTTATTTTCTAGACTAACAGATTGGGAAAAATGCAATTATAGTTATAGCTCCGCTCCGCAGTATAATACAGTATTACCTATTTTGAATGCGCGTTCCCGATTTATCACGCTATATCTCGAAAACGGTTGGTCGTACGAGAAAAATATATATATAAGCAATTTTGTAGATAATACTATTTTACGTAAGTTTTGTTTTGAGTTTTTCGACGGCAAATGCACAGGAAGAGAGATTTTTGCAAAAAAAAAAACGATTTTCATGACCTTTGACCTTCGATATCTCAAGACGCACAGGGGTAGGCATATGAGATTTTTTGGTGCTTCATAATAACATCAGAACGAAGGTCTCTGCAAAAATTCAGCTTGTTCGGCCTCATTCCGCAGATGGCCCTTTTTTTGTCTTATTTCCCTGGGGGTAGATGCCATTAAGCTACGACAAGTTATAGAATAGATATTTTCTTCCGATAAAATACAGTACCCTAACAGCTTACTACTAGGAATTTAAGTATACAACTAACTGTGCGAAATGCTAATGCACTTGTGAAATAGTTCATAAATTCTTTCTTCTTCCTATTATGTGCTCCTACTTTTTTTGTCAATGTATATATTAAGGTAGACATTGTCCTAATATCATATACAGTGAGGACATAAAGTCCGTCGCCCCCCCTCTAAATTTTGAACCGCTCGGTATATTGCAACAAAATTTGGAATGATGATATGTGACTAGATTCTACATTTTTTGGAAAACAAATGACAGCTTCAGCTGTCAAAATGACAGCTAGACGCAGTTTCGAAACGTTTTTTCAAATAGAAAGCGGTGTCGAATGATATATCGTTTTGAAGGTCTCTTTTTTCTAAATTTAATCCCCGATTCTGAAAACATTTGGTTTAGCGGTTTTCAAATGATGACGAAAAAACCAAGGCTTGTTTTGCTCATAAGCACTCATAAAAAAAAAATATTTTTTTTTTTATCGGTTTTCTATTCATTATTTAAGTTACCAATATCATGACGTCATTATTATTACTGAAAAAAAGACAATAATGAATAAAAAAGCGATAAAAAAATTTTTTATTTTTTTTTTTCGTAAGCGTTTATGAGCAAAACAAGCCTTTGTTTTTTCGTCATCATTTGAAAACCGCTAAACCAAATGTTTTCAGAATCAGGGATTAAATTAAGAATAAAGAAACCTTTAAAACGATATATCATTCGACACCGCCTTCTATTTGAAAAAACGTTCCAAAACTGCACCTAGCTGTCATTTTGACAGCTGAAGCTGTCATTTGATTTTCAAAACATGGAGAATCTAGTCACATATCATCATTCAAAATTTCGTTGCAATATACCGAGCGGTTCAAAAGTTAGAGGGGGGGGCGACGGACTTTATGTCTTCACTGTATTTATATCATGAATATTTAAGGTCAAATTCTTGGATGTCGCTAGCGAGCCTAAATATGTGAATATATGTGTCAAATTCAGCCCAGTTAAATAAGAAAATGTAAATCTAGTTCTGAAGCTGTCTATCACCTCGAACTGAGTCATGCATATTTCAATAGGTAACTTAACATATTTTGCCATAATGTAGTTCATATGCTCAACGAGCGAAATAATTATTATAAACAAATAGATGAGTCGTTGAAACTCCCTAATTTTGGTAGTATTGATCAAATTGATTGATTAGATTTTGTCACTACCTGCGCTAAAGTGGATTGTAATAAATATAATATATTATTTCAGCTTATGACGGTTATTTCTTCACAACTAACTTCACCAGTTAATTAAATAGACTGATTTAGATTATATATCTTTTTTATTAGGTTTTCCATGATGAATATTAAAATTTGATCAAGCACAAAAATGACAAGCCCCTCATCAGCAGTAATAATTGGAAATCTTTATTTGACATTAGTTCGGTAATTTTTTTTTAAACAGGTCATGTGGATTTTTAAGATTCTTATATGAAAGTAGGTACCTATTGTTTCAGATATTGCACTAACACAATATGCAAACCAAAAAGAAAATATATTTTTCTTATAATCATGATACTTATAAGAAAACACAATTTCGTGAAATATTATTTATATTACGCATGCATCATAATCAACGATTATCGCACGCTGCAGAGAAACCTAATTTTTTCTTCTGGCTTTTTTTTTAATATACTGTCATGTCCTTCTCAAAATACCATATTTCACTATTTATCTGGGCGGATTAATATATTTACTGTAAATACGCAATTATTTTCAACGTGAAAGGAAACTGAGGAAAACCACCTATTCAAAATATCATTTCTTCAAATCTTAACTTTTTAAAAAAAGGTTTACTGAAAAAAAAGTAAATGTTACAACCATGTAATGCGCCGCGAAGTTAAGGTTTGGGCAAAGTCCTGGGGGAGAACGAGGACGCCGCGCCGGCCGCGCCGCACAGTGTGAAATTTCCGGGATCTAGCTGGAAAAAAATATTTTAGCGGCTTTTTTAATGAAATATGAGTATTTTTTGTCCGTATATAGGAGATTTTGATGGAACAAGATTGAACATGCACCAAAATAATTTTCCCCCCTTTCCATTTAGGATTTCCTAGGAAGTAGCTCTGAGGGCTTGGGGGTTGAAAGGGGGGAGGTGAATTTTGCGTAAAAACTCATCTCCTTTCAAATTATAGTTGACGTGTTTCAGGGATTTTTTCGAAAATTTTCGAACTCCGAGATAATAGGAGTAGTAAGTTTTAAAATGAACACCCTATATATAGATAAAACGCACCTAACCGCAGCTAATTTTTTTTTCGGCACATGGTCAAAAAAGTGAGCTTCTAAAAAAATATAGAATTAATGTTATGAATGAATTATTATGTGGTATTATTTATCAAAAATATTTTTAAACTTACTAAATTGCAATTTTTAATACGTAACTGATGCATGTACGTCTTTTCAATTTTTTTTTAGTTGAACCATCTTGCAGGGATATTTTTTAAAAAAGATAACTTACGGCGCAAGTGTTAAAGAAAACTATTATCAATGCAAATTCTCGGCGAAACTTAACACTTCTAAATACA